TGGGTCTCGAACCCGCAGGCTCAGGTAATCCACTCACCTCAGCCTCCCAAAGGCACAGGATTGTAAGCTGAGCCACCGAGCCCGGCTTGTCTTATCCCTTTGGAAAGCAAAAGTTCTTGCCTACATCTATACCACCCTGAATATGCCTGATGTTGTCTCAATGCAAAAATTCTTAATTTAAATATAGCAAACATAACAATCATTTGTGAAAGCTGGTACTTTGTAGGTCCAGCATAAGAAATTATTCCATAATCATAAGTCACAAAAATACTTTCCTATTTTTTTGTAATTTATCTTTCACATGTAAGTCTTTAATTCATATATGGGATAGGAAATAAATTCAATTTCCCTCCCTCCTATGGATAAGCACGAATCAGTAATATCAGCCCAGTCTTACATTAGATTTTCTTAAATGAATGAATCTGTTTCTGGGCTTTCTATTCTGTTTCATATTCTGTTTGCCTTTCTCTGCAATAGAGCCATCTGCCTTAAAGACTATAGCTTCAGGATTCCTTGTTTTCAAGTACAAAAAGCCCTCCTCACCTTGCCTTTCTTCTCCTACAGGGCATGGGCCATCCTGGACCTTTTGACTTTGCTACAGACTATAATCAGCTGGTCACGTTTCATTCTTTAAAATCTCTGTTGGGAATTTTGCTCAAATTGCATTAAAAACATATTAATTTGGAGAAAAATGACATAATCTTGGTTTTCTATTTAATTTTTTTGTCTTATGAAAAAATAAATGGAAAGGCAGAGAATAGCATAAAATATTAATTAAGGTTTGTGAATAAACTATCCCAAATCATTTCTTCATATTGGTAGATATTCTTTTTCATCATATGGCCTGAAATATCCAGATACAGTACTCTTTTCTTCAAAACTTCTTCTCTTAGGTATTGATATTGAGCTTTTGTGTTCATAATCATGGTAGAAAAGAGTATCTTTTCATTTACTAGTTTTTTTTTTAACTTCTTTAGAGGTAAAGAGATTGCCTGTCTTCTGCTTTATTTATAGTAACTTGATTTTTTTGTTTGTTAATAAGTATAATATTTTAAAATTTAATTACCTCCTCCCTGATCATCGCTGGCTTTTAGAATTAGATTGATATTTGAATATTAACCTGAAATCTAGCACCTTATAAACATTATTATTAATTCCAGTAAATTATTGGGGTTTTCTGTGTATAAATTATATCATTTGAAAAGAATGTTTTGTTTTTTCATTTATAATACTTACAGCTTTCATTTCTTTTCAATATTTTTTCCTTATTTTCCTGGCTAGGACCTCTAACACAATACTGAGTGGAAGTGCTGATCTTAGCTTAATTTTACATTTTAAAATTGTTTTTAGTCTTTCATCATTAAGTGTAATATGTACTGTAGGCTTTCTTTGGATTCCTTGCATCAGTTTATGAAACTCTCTTTCTATTCCTAATTAGGTGAAGGTTTTTTGCTTGTTTGTTCTAATCATTAATAGATTTTTTTTACATGTATTGAAATTATTTTACTTCAAAAATATTTCCATCTAATGAAATGCTCATTTGACTCTTCCTCCTTTAATATGTTATATTGGGCAAAATATTAAGTGATGCCAGTCATCACCACTTCAGCAAAATTTTCAGTTTCTTAGCAGTTTTAATGAGAATGGAGCACCAAATGGGAAAGATCCTGCAGTAGGACCAAGTAAAAATCCATCACATGGGACCTTGTTGCCACCAGGGAGCATTTGGAAGACTTAAGGATAAAGAAAGATATGAGTCACCAGGTGCGGTGGCTCAAACTTGTAATCCCAGCACTTTGGGAGGCTGAGGTGAGAGGATTGCCTGAGTCCATGGGTTCAAGAAAGACATGAGTCACCTGGACCCATGGGGACTTCAGAGGAAATAGCAGGAGGAGGAGGGAGGACTAGAGACTACTTGAAATGGTAGAAAAGGGATATTGATGGTGTAAAGATGTTATTATTTAGGCCTCATATTAAAGATGTTTCTTTGTCTCTCAGAAACAAAGAGACAAAGATAGGAATCTGAGTAAGATAAACATATATCAGGTCACAAAATTCAGAAGGTCCTCATTATGAGAAAAAGAGAAAACAACTTTCAAAAGTTGATGAAAATAAATTTACTATAAATAAGAGGACATGATTCCTTACATGCAAGTTAATAAATTAGTGGAATCAATGATCCCCAAGCATTGACAGAGATCAAAAATAGCTGCACGTATTAATGATGGCAGCTAAACCTGGAGCTAAATGAGCTTATTTCTGACCTGGCATGGCAATCCCTAGGGAGACACCACCCTCGTGTCCTTTGTTGACTACTGCAGACCTTCACTTGAGCATTGATGAATTTAGCTTTCCCCTCTTGTGAAAGCCTTATGAGAGATAATTCTCCCTGATTTTGTTCTCTTCGCTTTACACATTTTCTTAGACATCATCTGTTTAAACTATTACATTTTTTTAAAATGGCCTTTGTTGTTATTGTTAAGTACAGAGAAGGGAAGTGCCACAAATAGAAAAGGGCAGCATATGGAATAGTTTAAAAGTTCTGGAAGTGCCAGTGAGGGGAACTGTAGGAGAGAACATTCCATCTTCCCGGGCTGTTGTTTTCTTTCCAGGTCTCCGTGCAGATCAGATAGGGAAGCAAGCCCCAGGAGAGCAGCAGGGCCGTGCACATGTAACCAATTGGTGGGGTTTTTTTTTGGTTTTTTTTGCCTGTAGTAAAGTTCACATTTTGATTGCTTCTCCAGATTATGTAGATCCAGACATATTTTATGCAGTCATCCGGATCTTTCTCTCTGGGTAAGTATAGTTCAATTGTTTTCCTGCATGCGGTCTCTGGCATTTTCCAAATTTAATAAGGAAAGATACAGACAGAAATTTTCTAGAGTAAGAAACATACCAAATGGTCTTTGCTAAGGAACCACTCTCAGATAAGAGGAACAATGGGATGCCAACAGCATAGCAAATGACCTTGAGTACTGAATATTTAAGTTCAAAGTGATTGTCCTTAGGTCATTTAGATCCATTTGTATTCACTTTTCTTAGAATCCTACATTGTTGACAGCAGGAAAAAAAATCCAATATGTCACCCCATATTTCTGTCACTTAGATCCATTTTTTCCTTTTGTTATCAAAGCAGGTGAAAAAGTATACGAAAAACTTACCCAAAGCAATAAGTAAAAGATAAAAGTCCAATATAAAAGAATAAAAGCTTTTTTAAAAGCTTCCTGGAAGAGCTTTCTGCTATGGTTTGAAAGTGTGTCCCTCCAAAACTCATATGTTGAAATCTAATCACCAGGTAATAGTAGTAGGAGATGGGACTTCTGGGGAGTGATTACGTCAAGAGGGCCCCACCCTCATGAATGGGATTGATGCTTTTATAAAAGGGCTGGAGGGTACTAGCTAGGCTTTTTTTTTTTTTTTTGCCCTACTGCCCTTCTTTGCTTTCTACTGTGTGAAGACACAGCAGTCAAGGCACCACCTTAGAAGCAGAGTTCAGGTCCTCACCAGACACTGAACCTACCAGTGCCTTGATCTTGAACTTTGCAGCGTCCAGAACAATGAAAGATAAATTTCTATTATAAGCAGTCCCCTATTCAATATAGTTTGACTTAAGACTTTTGACTTTACGATGGGGCAAGAGTGATACACTTCCAATAGAAACCATACTTTGAGTGCTCATACAATCATTTTGTTTTTCACTTAGGATATTCAGCACTTTATTATAAAATCCGCTTTGTGTTAGATGATTTTGCCCAACCAAGGATAATGGAAATGTTCGGTGTGCATTTAAGGTAGACTAGGCTAAACTGTGAACCTTGGGAGATCAGGTGCATTAAATGCATTTTTGACTTAAGATATTTTTAACTTATGGTGAGTTTATTGGGATATAACACCATTGTAAGTCAAGAAGCATCTGTATTTACAAGTTACTCAGTCTAATTTGTTTTGTTATAGCAGCAGGAATGAACGAAGACACTAGCCTAAATCATCTTTTAATATTCCTGGGTACTCTTCTTTTCTTACATGGCTTGAAATTTCTCTAGTTAGAGAATGTCACTCTTATGTTTATTCTTTTAAATATATGAGTCATTCTTACATTGACATGTATTAATCAGATTGCCTTCCTATGTAAATTAACTAAGGGAAATTAAGGTTGTTGTTTTATAAAATTTTTAAATGGTGAGAAGTCAAAAGTGGAGGCAGTGGATAGATGAGTTGCAATATGTGAAAAAGTTACCACCTAGGGGATGATTTTGTTAACTAAGAGATGCCTGAAGTGCTGTCGGTAGAAAGAATCTGAAGTTGTTCCTGGATATAACAGGAGACATGCCAAATGCCAAAATCTATTACTGATATGATCCACTGGTGCAAGAACAGAGTGGTGACATGTAATAAGTATTTCCTCCAGATTGGGTAAGACTGAAGTGTCAGACACTTCAAGGGGAGTCCAGACCAGTGAGGAATCTTTATTGTCTGGAGTAGAGAGTGGAAACAAGCAGGGTTTTGAAAGTAACCTGAAAATAATGGGTACATGGGGTACATGGTTTATAGGAGAAAGAGAAAACATAAAGAAGGCGGGTGCAGAAATGGAGTTGGGAATGTGTCTCAAAATTTAGGCTTTCTCTGTATACCTCTGGCAATATTAGGCAAAAGACATGAATAGACACTTCTCAAAAGAAGATATATGGGAAGCCAACAGACACATGAAAAAGTCCTCAGCCTCACTCGTCATCAGAAAAATGCAAATCAAAACCACATTGAGATACCAGCTAACCCCAGTAAGAATGGCCATCATTAATAAAACAAACAACAGATGCTGACGAAAATGTGGAGGAAAAGGAACACTTCTACACTGTTGGTGGGAAAGCAAACAAGTGCAACCTCTTTGGAAGACGGTGTGGCAATTTCTGCAAAAACTGGAAATTGACTTTCCATATGATGCAGTAATTCACCCATTGGGAATATATCCAGAGGAACTCAAATCATTCTACAAAAAAGATACCTGCAGACGTATGATTGTTGCAACTCTATTTACAATAGCAAAAACATGGAACCAACCATGTTGCCCGTTGAAGCTGGACTGGATTGGAAAAAATGTGGTACATATACACAATGGAATATTATGCAGCCATGAAGAAGGACAAACATATGAACTTCACAGCAACTTGAATGGATTTAGAGTCTTTCATACTCAGTGATCTATCATAGAAACAAAGAAGAGTACCATATGTTCTCACTCATAAGCAGACCTTGAACGATTATAATACTAAAAGAAAGGAATTGGCAGTAGTGGGAAACTGTCAGGGGAGGAGAGGTAGGATGGGCAGTTGAGGGAAACTGCTAGGGAAGAGAGGGGCACACCTCATCAGCAAGGGTAACTGCATAATCAACATTTGTATAGCTAACTCTGAATTGTACCTCACATTTTTATGGTAAAAAAAAGAAAAAAGATAAATTTAAAAAATTATGCTACCCTATAGTAAGATTATATTAGATATAGAAAGAGACTGGGATTTAGAAAGCACCCAATCCTGAAAAATCTCTGTGCATTACGTTGCTCTCTAAATCTGTATTAGTTTTCCTTTGTTGCATAACAAATTATCACTCATTTAGCAGCTAAAAGCAACATAAACTTGTATCATAGTTTGGGAAGTTAGAAGCCTGGGCAAGCTCAACTGGGTTTTCTGCTGAGGGTTTCACAAGGCTAAAATCAAGTTATCCTTTGGGCTGGGCTCCTAACTGAAGATCCAGGGAAGAATCCACTTCAAAACTTATTTACAGCCTGTAATCCCAGCACTTTGGGAGGCCGAGGTGAGTGGATTGCCTGAGCCCTTGGATTTGAGACCAGCCCAGGCAACTTGGTGAGACCTTGTCTGTACAATAAAAAATCTAAAATCAGTCAGGTGTGGTAGTACACACCTGTAGTTCTGGCTAGTAGGAAGGCTGAGGTGGAAGGATAGTCAGAGCCCAGCAGGTCAGCGCTGGGGTGGCCGTGAGTGTGCCACTGCATTCCAGCCTGGGTGATGGAGTGAGACTCCAACTCAAACAACAACAACAAAAACTCATTTACATTGTCAGAATGAAGTTTTGGGGCCTCTAAAACAGATCTGTTTTCTGAAGCTGCTCTCAACTTTTAGAGGTCTCTTCATCGTGTGGCTCCCTCCCTCTCAGCAATGAGAAGTACAGCCTTTCTAGTATTTCAGTTCTTTCTGACTTCTTTTTCTGTCAGCCAGAGAAAGTGCTCTGCTTTTAAAAATGGTCGTATGTAATTAAACACAACTTACCTAGATAATTCAGGATAACTCCCTAAGGTCAACTGATTAGTAATCTTAATTATATCTGTAAAGTACCCTCTGCCATATAATATATCATATTGACAGGCATGATAATATCTCATATTATTAAAATCCTAGGAATTAGAAAGAAATCTTGGGAAATAATTTTTGGAATTCTGCCTACCACAGCATCTTCCAAGAAAATAGGTTAATTCTACTTTTTACAATTTTAATTTTTTTTTTTTGAGTTGAGGGTCTCACTCTATCATCCAGGCTGGAGTGCAGTGGCAAAATCATGGCTAACTGCAGCCTAGACCTCCCGGGCTCAGATGATTCTTCCACCTCTGCTTCCTATGTAGCTAGTACCACAGGCACACACCACCACACCAGGGGAATTTTTTTTATTTTTCGTAGAGACAAGGCTGACTATGTTCCGCCCATGCTGGTCTTGAACTCTTGGGATCTAGCAATTATTCTGTCTTGACCTCCCAAAGTCCTGGAATCACAGGCATAAGCCACTGCTCCCAATCAATTCTACTTTTTTTTTTTAAATGTCAGAACTATCTGATAAGGATGAACTGTATATTCTGAAGTCCTTGTGATTAGATGTACACTAGAGAATGACTTTGCTTTCGTTAAAATAAGCTCTGGATCACTGACACATTTTATCCATGATCTATGTAAATACCTCTCCTCTGTTCTGATCCTCTAAATATTTTCCATGTAGCTAAGTGACCAGTAAGTACTAAATCCTAAATGAATTGCTAAGTATAGATAGCCAAAGACATCTGGATTATTGGGCATTCCCAGTAGGGCTGTCATGAAAAATGTAAATTTGCTTCATTCATCGTGATTTGTCCTATTTTTGGCTTATTATTTCTTGCTTACTTTTTAAAAACACATTTTTATTTGGGAGAAAGGAAGGATTTCACATGTAGATAAATACATATTCCCCTTAGTTCCCTCTCACATTCAGTTTCTCAGGGAAGTTAACCTGTGTAAAGGGAGGGGGAATAAAACCTCATTTCTTTTCTTTATTTAAACTTCCTCTTTCCTTGGGGTTTCTAGAATTTTGCTACAAGAAAGGTTAAAAATAACCTTGGCTACAGAGGTTTCAAAGAAAAAAAAAATTTTTCCCAACAAGCAGAGCTTGGGTCTGAGAATGCATGAAAGCAATCATTAGGCTGCTCCAGGAAACACAATTTACCTTCCTATCTTAACCTTATTAAGCTAAAGAACATGGGTTTTGGAAGTAGATGTGCTTATTTAAATTTTTTGAACTTTTATGCTGGTGTTTTTCTCCATCACCTTCCATGTGGCTTCAGCCTATCCTCTTCTGAGTGAGGAGCTAAAAGGAGATTGATTAATGTCTCTTGACAATTTTAGACATGTACTAGCTCTTTTAAGTTGATCAGGTTCTTTCAAGAAACATACTTGGGTCTACATATTCTGGATATAATCCAGACTTATAGAATGCTATTTTTAAAATTTTCTCATTCATCTAATATTTAGTGAGTGCTTATCCCATACCAGGCACAATTCTAGGTGCTAGAAATAGAGCAGTGTAACTAAATGGCAACTTGAGGCTTATATTTTGATGATAGGAGACTCACAACATATAAATAAACCAGTAAATTGAACAAAAGCAAGCATGATGCAACATATGTTACAGCAACAAGCAAAATGGGGAAATTAAGAGTAGGATATAGGGTATTAGGGAGGGCTGAGTATGGTGGCTGAAGTTTCTTATCCACTTATTGTGGTCCAGGAATGCGCACCACTTAGTGACATTTGAGCACATGCCCTAAGTGAATGAGGAACCACTGAGCAAAAAGAACAGCAATTGCAATGACCCTGGTGTGGGAGCATGTTTACCATGGTGGAAGAATCACAAAGAGATCAGCAGGACAGAAAACACTGTGGGAGAATGAGGAAGAGACAAGTGACAGTAGAGACCAGACCGCATAGCAGCTTGCTGGCAACATTAGCAAGTACTCTGCAAGACAGGCTAGGCATGGTTCCACCAGAGTCATGAAGGGTGAAAGTATTCACCAATACAATTATGAATTAGGAAAGTTAGGCTTATCAGAGGAAAGATGTTGTAAAGGGCACAAGAGACAGGATAACAGAAGTACTCACTGCTATTTACTGCAAGAGAAGGTGGCCTGAGGTTCTTCCCAGTGGAGTTTGACCCTCTCTACAGTTAGGGTGAGTTTTAGGATTCCCATCATGTATTTGCATTCCTGCCATGCAAATGAGTTCATTCTGATGGGTTGCTGTTTGACTTTGACTGTATGTGGTTTGTGGGCCAGCTGGAAGCTATTCATCCCGTACAATTCTTGTAATCTCATTCTGAGATTTCCTTCTTCAGAACAGTTTATCCAATTTACCCAATTGATGCTGGCCTGATTAAGCCTCATGTTCCTCCACAGCAAGTTTTAAAAAGAATAATGACATGATCTGTCTTACTTTTCAATATCTTCACAGTATCTGCTGAATGAAAAATAGACTACTGAAGAACAATGGCGGAATCAAGCAAAGTGTTTAAGAAACTATCATGACAGTCCAGGGTGGTGGATGGTGCTAAGGATGAAGGTGTCAAGAAATGGTCGAACTTGGGGTATACATTGAAGTCATAGTTGACAGATTTTGCTATTGGATTGCACATGGAAGGAAAGGGAAGGAGATCAAAGATGATGCTAAAGTGTTTTTTTTTCCCTTAGTTTTTGTCCTGATCTACTGAAAGAATAGAACTGTCATTTACTTTAATGGGTAATACAGGTTTGGCAAAGAAGGAGACACTGGGATATCAGCTTTGGAATGTATTCATTCCTGTGGAGATAATTGATTAGGCAGTTGGACATGTGAATCTGGAGCATAGGGGAGAGATCCAGCTATAGGTGAAAATTTGTAAACAGTCAGAATATAGTTGGTTTTGAAATCCATGAAGTTAGATAAGCCTACTTGTAAAGTGAGAGTAGTGACAAGTCACAAGGACCTGGCCCTTGTGAGAATCAAGATGGGAAGGAAATGGAGAAGGAGCCCAAAATGACTGCCTACAACCATCAGCCAGATTACAAAGAAAGATCTGAACAAGTGTGCCATACTCATTTGGTCCCTTATCACCCAATAGCATCACGTCTTTAATATTTCTTCCTCATAAAAGAATGTCCAGTAATCTTACTGGACCAGTGTCCTGACATTTGAGAACTATCAAAATCTCTCTGGATTCCATTTCATCCTCCCAACAGCTGTAGGAAGCAGATACAAACTGAGGGAATTAAGACTCAGAAAGATTTGTACAAAGGGACAACATAGTGAGAGGGAGTGCAGGGATTCCAACTCCCTCTCAATAATATAATAAAATGACTAATATCAATTGAATGCTAAATGTTTTGCAGACACTGAGCAGGTATTGTGTTAATGAATTCCCACAATAACCCAATAAGGGTTATATCTATATTAATATTACCCAGCGAGGAAACTGAGGATCAGAGAGGATGATTATGCCATGGCTCATAGTTAATAAATGGCAGAGCTGAGATTAAATTCTGTATCTGCCTGCAATAGAACCCTCTCTCTTATCAGGAGCTGCTTGTTTGGGACTTTTCAGTGGGAATCTTTCCCTTGCTCTTCCATGTCCCCCTATCTTGCATCCTGTGCTTTATCTCGTTCCAGAGTCTTAGTTCCCCAACTGCAGTGGTCACTCTGCTATTTATCCAGTGAAAACCATAGTGCGGCCAACCCTAAACACTCCCCAAAGAAAACAACCCAGCTCCTTACAGCGTTTCCATCCTCAGGGCAGTATTTGAAAAAGGTCATGAACAGCCCGCAGAGCAGCCTCTGTGGCTTTTATATGTGGTATGTGTGTGTCCCTTCTCTTGAGCACAGTGACTTTGAAAATTACAAGAAAAGGGTGAAACATTAGTGTGAATCTGTTATCTAAACTCATAACAGGGAAGGTAGTTTGTTCCTGGCCACAAGAGGAAAACATGGTTTTCATTAGGAAAAATAGAAATTCACATAGGAGGTTTTTGGGAAAATGAAAATAGAGAATTATAAGCTTGGGGTTTCAGTTTTAGTTTCATCTTTTAAATGATAATAATAATAAAGCAATGTAGCCCCTAGAAATTTAACTGTGTCTTTGTTTCTTTATAAAATGGAATAGAAATAAATACCTTTCCTGATCTACTCACAATAGGTCAAATGAGAAAATGAATGTGAAGGTGCTTTATAAACTGTAAAGCGTGTAGGTACAAATGTGTTGTGAGCTTGTTCTTGATTTTCTCATTATGAAGTTGCCTAATATATTCTGTGATTATTCGAGACTCTATGAAAACCAGACACAGGGAAATGAGTAAAATAGACGGAGGCAGAAAAGAGGGGGACTCAGAGAAAACAGTGAAGAAAGGGAATCAGAAAGACAAGGAGAGGAAAGGAGGGGAAGGGAGCGGAGGAGAAGGAGAAAGAAGGGGAAGGGAGGGGAGGACAGAGGACAGGAAGGAAGTGGAAGGGAGGGAAAGAGAGGAAAATCCACTTAATCTGAGCACAGCTAAACGCACCAGTTCCAGGGGCATGTCCCTGACTTTAGCCTCTGGTAAGTCTCAGGGCTGCATTGGGTTCCCTGTTGTTAATCTTTCTTATCCACCCTTATTATCAGTAACAAAGCATTTGGTAAAGGCATTCTCACAAAGTCAGGTAATATCTAGAACTGATAGGTTAATGTGATGATTACAGCTATCACTGTTTCAGAGAAGGACAAAGATATGTGTGTGTGTATTTGTATGTGTGTGTGTATACTCAGGTATGTGCATTTGTGTATATTTGTGAATATTTACTTGTAGAATTTCAAGGATGAGGTCATCAAAGTTGAGGCTAGCCGAGGAAGTGGAGAAGAGTTTTTTCAGAGTCCAGAAATTGTTCCTGTTGATCAGAACCAATGGCATCTTTATTACTGAATTTTTAAAATGAATATGTCATGGAACCAAAGCCAAAAATTCCTCTCTAAATAGCCTTTACTTCTCTGGAAGAATCCTTAAATCCAGCCTATTATGACACTGGGGTCGAGATAATGCTGAAACACTTATAAAGATACTCCATCTTTTGCCCTAAAATTACCACTGAAATCATGTTTCCTTTCTTACTCACACTTAGTTTCCATGTTAGAAAGTATGCTGCTAACTCCCAGCAATCCTTTCTTCTCTCTGACTTTTACTCTTGCTTAGATGGAAAGATAATCCAGCAATGCCTGTGGGGCTGATATATGAAGGAGTCTCCAAAGAACCTCTAAAATACTCTGGAGGGAGTGCAGCTCAGAGCACAGTGCTTCATGCCTTCGATGAGTTCTTAGGCATTCATCATAGCAAGGAAAGTGGTAAGTCAGACTTTGTTTTTTCCTTAAGAGGAGAGGGAGGAATAACAGATTTTTTTTCTTTTTTTACCAATTGATAAATGCCATGAAGTCTGCATTTCTCTAAATCAGTCAAGAAACTATGTGCCTGCCAAATGTTTTGGTGTCAAGTCAAATTAATATTGGATCTCAAAAGGATCTTGGGTTTCATTTCTAAATCTTATAAAATTGCTATATCTCTAACAGTTCACTGAGATTTTGGTTTGGATCCTCAGTCAGTAGCTTCTTTTTTCCAAAGTAGGGGGAGATCTGGAGTGTGAAGACTATGACATTATTGATGTGTCTGGGTCAGCTGGTAACAGGTCTGAGCTCCTCCAGGAAAGACCTTCCCCATAAAGTGGTGCAACCTCTGGCCAAATCTACTAAGGCCAGAAGAAGGCTCTCTCATTTTAGAAGCTTGAAGGTGCTCATTTTCTTACCTGGCAGAATCAAGCTAAGTATTTAACAGGTGCAAAATGACACCTCGTTCTATAGAATTTTCAAGTTAGATTAGAACAACAACAACAGCAACAACAACAACAAAGACCAAAACTCAGTGTCTTAGAGTCAAGTCATTTCTCTGGAACTGTGATAATTTTTTAATACATTTTTGCATTTAGTGATAGTAGTTGATTTACCATACACAATAGTCAATGCATAAGGAATTTACTATGAATGTCTATTGATTTGATTTTTAAACAATTTGGCTTCAAGGGACTACTACTAAAACCATTGCTCTCTCTTGGTCTTTTTGTCTTTATATACTCTTTTCTAGCATTCCCTCCAGAACAAAACTCTGAGGAAATAACATTCACCAGAGTATTCAGCTGGCCAACTTAAGGGTTTGTATTCTTCATTTGCAGACATTCTTCATGGGAGCTAGCTACTATATGGCTTGTTTCATTTGGTATGTAATAAATATGTCTGCACTGGCTGGTAGGTCTAGTTCCTACTCAGTCATCTGAGATGTGCCTGCTTCTTTTTCTCTTCCCCTTCTCCTGGCAACAGTTAGAAATATGCACTTGAATACTTGAAGCCCGAGAGCAAAAGAGTCAACAAGGTCGACTGAGTTAGAGCACCAGCAACAATTCCTGCTGCATTCCTGTCTGGAAATGTGGTGTTCTGATGTTGCTCTGGATTGTTTCTTTCAGCTGACTTTCTGTACAGAATGAGGGACTACATGCCTCCTTCCCACAAAGCCTTCATTGAAGAAATCCGTGCCACTCCTTCACTGAGGAACCACGTTCTGTCCTCTGGACATGGCCGCCTTCTGACAGCCTACAACCAGTGTCTGGAGGCCCTGGCAGAGCTGCGTAGCTATCACATCACCGTGGTGACCAAATACCTCATCACAGCTGCGGCCAAGGCCAAGAGCGGGAAGCTGAACCACCTTCCAGGGCCACCACAGGCTTTAGAAGACAGGGGCACAGGTGGAACTGCAGTGATGAGCTTCCTAAAGAATGTCAGGGATCAGACCTTAGCATCCATCCTCCATGCAAGTGGTTAGGAACCTGCCCTCTCCCCAGCAGAGCAGAACCCCCATAGAAGACAGTTGGTCTGGAGAATGAGGCTTAGGGTTCTGCCTGAAATCATCCAAGCAGGACTCAGCCCTGTTCATGCTCCTGCTCTGTAGAACACCATGTTGTGTTTTGTGGAGAGCTGCTGTCTTCACTAAGGAGAGTGGGTGTGGCCAGAGACTTTCCTTCTCTACCTGATCACTGCTTAACAGCAAATAACTTTGGAGATTTCCTCATGCAGAATCCCACGGAGGAGTGACTGTACCTTGCTCTCTTTGCCATGTAATAGAAAACCAATCTACATTTCAAAAACCGAATGAAACTGCCCAGGGACAGATTACCTTGTTGATTTCCTTAGAACACAAATTCACTTAACAATTTATTAAATTCCCACTGAGCACTGCCTCCAAGATTAGAAGAGGGATTTCCATGGCCCTAGACTAGCCTGCTTCTCCCTGAATGCATTGAATTTGGCAGCAGGGGGACACGTGGAAGGAAGAGGATGCTGACAATAAAGACGTGGATGTCATCAGTGTGAAAATGAATAGTTAATGATGTGGGAAGGGATGAAACTTGCACATAGTACATAGACCTGCAAATTCTACTGTGATTCCTTTCCCTTTCTCTCTCTCTCTCTCTCTCTCTCTCTCTCTCTCTCTCTCTCTCTCTCTCTCCTCCTTCCTTCCTTATTAGAAGAATGATTCTTCTTATCCTGAAGGTCTGTATTTGGAAAATGAATGAATTGATCCTTTCTAGTAAATGAGGAAAATGGGAATGAATAGTAAATACACATGTTCAGTGTGAAAATGAATGTAACTGCTTTTATTGACTTAGTTTCTTTCTCAAGGCCTCATTCTACCTGACAACAGAAAATCAGAAAACTTTAATCAGGCCAATTTATAATAAATTTCATTAATTTAAGATTGACTCCCACTGTGAACACACAAATATGCTTGGAATAGTTTCTGAATTCCAAGAGACCTATCTAGTATCATGGCCTCAGGGGAGGCACTTGATCACTGAGTCTCTGTGAAAGTCATCTGTTAAGAAGTCTCCCTCCCCAGTGGACGTTGGTCAAGTGGAGTTTGTAGCATGTGTCATCCTAGCACATTCTTTAGTCCTAAAGGTCCTATCTCACCACTTGGAAAAACATCTGGCTATTTTCTGCATCCCCTAGGAGTCGTTGGAGATTGCCAGCATGCACAGTAACCATCTCCACTCTCCAGGGTTATGGGGACGAGAGATTTCCTGACCCTTGCAAACCCCCAGCGCCCTTGATAGAAAGACATGAATGAATATCTTCCTCTTGGGCATGGAGAAGACTCTTACTCTTACTTTATTTTTTTTCTGAGTTAGAGTCTTACTCCATCACCCAGGCTGGAGTGCAGTGGCACGCTCACAGCCACCCCAGTGCCAACCTACTGGGTTCAGGTGATTCTTCTGCCGCAGCCTTCCAAGCAGCCGAAACTACAGGCACGTGCTACCCCGCCCAGCTAATTTTTTTTTTAATTGTGGAGATGAGGTCTCGCCAAGTTGCCCAGGCTGTTCTCAAACTTGTGGGCCCAGGCAATAACCTTACCTTGGCCTCCCAAAGTACTGGGATTACAGACTTCAGCCACTGTGCCTGGCTGGCTCTTACTATTTCATGTCTCCAGAGCTTGGTCTGGCAAAGATGAGGAGGTGGGCAGGACAGGACCAAGAACTTCTTCTCAGAGGCATTCACCAATGCTCTTCTCTGTGTCTGTCACTCCTCCTCCTACTCTAACCCAGAGAGAGAGAGAATCTTTTTCTAGTCTGGGTGGGCCAAGGAAAACCAGTGAGTCTGCAGTGTCCTTTCTACCTGTTGTTTATATCAGAACCCTAGCTCAAAAGGCTTAGGCTGTCATAACTCAAAATGCTTTTTTTTTTTTTTTAGTTGGAGTCTCACTCTGTCGCCCAGACTGCCAGACTGGAGTGCAGTGGCACGCTCCCAGCCACCACAGCCTCGACCTGCTGGGCTCCAGTAATCCTTCCATCTTAGCCTTCCAAGTAGCTGGAACTACAAGCATGCGCTACCACACCCAGCTAATTTTTGATTTATTGTAGAGATGAGGTCTTGCCAAGTTGCCCAGGTGGGTCTCGAACTTGCAGGTTCAAGCAACCCACTCACCTCAGTCTCCCAAAGCTCAGGATTACAGGCTGAGCCACCGAGTCCGGCTTCAAAATGCCTTTTGTCCCCACATGCTGTCCTTGTCTTGTGTTTGAAAAGTTCATTTTGAACCTTCAAAAAAGTGAGCATGAATATATTTATTTCTCTTTGATTTTCTCTGGGATCAATAAACCCAGACGGTCTTAACTGCCTGGGCTGAACATATACCATGGTTCAAGGACTAGGACTAGATGGGAAAGAAGATAAAAGCACATTGGTGAATGATCCAAACGTTATCCCTTCTCACTGTCATTCTCAGGTGAAAAGAACATGTTGTTTAGAAGGATAGCTTTTCCCTTTTTTTAAACAATGTGATTTTTGACCAACTTCAGAAATTCACTAATCCTCAGCTTCCTCGTTCCTATAAAATCAAGATGATCAGATGAGTTTCAGCATAGATACACACAACAGAAGGGATAGCAACAGCGTAGAGGGCAAAGTCAACAAAATTTATTTGGTTGTGAGGTGAGACTCAGAGCACAGTGCAGATATCAATTCAAGAAGAAACACAATTCCTCAAGTCTCTTGGACTCACAGAAATAAAGTGACCATTTATCATTTTGAGACACTGGAAAGTAGAGGCCAAAAAAGAAGTGTACTCCAGATGTGTCACATTTTATATTGGCAGACATGCTGTTGAAACTGAGTTTTCTTCATTGTCAAAAAGGAATTGCATAATGACTGTGTGGAGCCAAATGGTGGTTGTCAGGTTGTTATTCCCCCACATTATGTCCTGGAACTGGGGAGAACCAAGTCTGGGGGGTTCTTAAGAACCAGGATAGGCTGGGTGTGGTGGCTCAAGCCTGTAATTCCAGCACTTTGGGAAGCCGAAGTGAGAGGATTGCCTGAGCTCAGGGATTCGAGACCAGCCTGGGCAACTTGATGAGACCTTGTATCTACAATATACAAAAAAATTAGAGGTGGGGCAGGAGGGTGGGATTGACAGTAGTTGAAATCTGCCTGGGAGGGGGGCACACCTCATCAACAAGGGTACCTACAAAATGTATATTTGTATACCTAACCTGAATTGTACCCCACAACTTAAAAACAAATTTAATTTTAATTTAATTTTTAAAAAATTAGCCGGACGTGGTAGCATGCACCTGTAGTTCCGGCTACTTGAAAGGCTGAGACGGAAGGATCACCTGAACCAGCAGGTTGATGATGGGGTGGCCATGAGCATGCCACTGTACTCCAGCCTGGACAACAGAGTGAGTGAGACTCTGACTCAAAAAAAAGAACCAGGATAGAAGTTGAAACTGGGAGTCTACCTCCTTGCACTTGGAAAAAAAAAGGGATAACATGATCCCCAAACAGGCAAGCAAAGTAAGATGGAATCTGGATTTTTCTTGAAATCATGTATACCTGTGTGAAGAGTAATAACAACGAACTTTTACTTAACAAAGCTTGCCACAGTCATTTCAGATTTTAAATCTAGACCACTACTAAAAGGGGCCCTGTTTTGTCTCTCAGAGTGACAGGATTAACAAAATCATCTTAATTGGTTTGCTTTCAATGACTGCAAATTCACTCAAAGACACCTCAGAGCTTGACACAGAATTTTCAATAAATTTCATATAAAGGAAAAACTGAATAATTAGTAAATTAAATGGGGTAGAAAAAGAAGTATACAAGGGTTTTTTTTTCAAGATTTCTAAGGACAAAGGGTATGCACTTCAGTAAAAAAACACCTGTCTAATGGTAAGAATACTTTTATTAGCAGCAGTATTTTGTGGGGTGTTATGGCAAAGTGGGACTCCCGATCCTTCGTGCCTCAGTGTGTCTAGCATAGATATTTACTTACAGTACAAGCTATTTAACTTGCTTAACATTTCTAGTCGTAGTCATCACACTTGTGTGTTGTGAAATGCAAACAAATGTGTATTTGTGAGAGAGTAGGCCTGGAGCAAAAAGTAGCATTATGATGGTGCTGTATGTTCCCTGAATATCCCTCTGATCTGGATAAAAAGACAAGTCTGGAGAAAATAAACAGTAGGAGGAGTAGGAAGTGTGTGCTTTCCCACCCTGGAAGTTCTTAGGAGAGTGGAGAGAAGACCCAAAGACATGCAATTAGCAGGAGTTGCAGAGACCATTTTCTGAGCACATGGGTGGAGCTATGAGTGCGTGTGTCTAGACGTAAGAGGCAGAATCATGACTGAGAACAAAGAGACTGGCAAGTTCCATTCCAGGTCAGATCCTGGGACAAACACACTCTGATGTAGGACTTGTAAGTTTTGTCTCATGACAAGAATAAGAAACATGTTGTCACAGGATTATACTTTAAATTCATCCAGATAAAATCAAACACGTGGTAGTGCTTAACCTGACTCAGTGATTGTAGAATAAATCAGTACCCAGCTTGAATGAAATGGAAAGGAGTTCTGTCATTCTTGCTGCCAAAGATAGTTTCCTTCCGGATGTGCAGTCTCATTGCCAGGAGCCTGGTGAAGGTGAGGAAAGACATGTTTTCTTCTTATCTTAAGAAGTGTGCGTCTTTGATTACTATAGGCCAACCCTACAAATGATGAAGTAGGTACCACTTGTATGTTCAATTTGAAGGTTACCAAATTTATGCTGACATGTTGATCCCTGTAAATATTCAAGATTCCTTAATTAACGCCGTGTTCTCCAGAGAAACAGAACCAATAGAGAGAGAGGTGTGTGTGTGTGTGTGTGTGTGTGTGTGTGTGTGTGTGTGTGTGTGTGTCAGTATTAGTAGGGAATTGGTTCCAGGACCTCCTGCAGATGCTAAAAATCAGTGAATACGCAAGTCCTTTATACATAAAATTGTGTAATATTTGCTT